AAAGTGTCTATTTAGGTGCTTTGCCCATTTTTTTGATTGGTAGGAGGTAATTACTTTAGATGAGGTCATTAAGATGCAGCCCTCCCTATAGAATTAGTGTCCTTATAAGAAGAGAAAGAAACCAGAGCCCTCTCTCTCTCTCCATGTAAAGATACAGCAAGAAGGTGGCTATCTGCAAGCCAGGCAGAGGGCCCTCACCAGGAACCAATTCTGCCAGTATCTTGATATTGGACTTCCTAGCCTCCAGACCTATAAAAATAGATATCTGTTGTTTAAGCCACCCAGTCCATGGTATTTTGTAATAGTAGCCCAAGCTGACAAAGACAATTTATAATTTTGAATTTCCTGGTAACCTTATTAAATTATGTAAAAGGAAATGTGTGGAATTAATTTTAATAACATATTTTATTTAAGTTAATATATCCAAAATATTATCATTGCAAAATGTAATCAATATGAAAATTATTTGTAAGATACTGTGCATTCTTTTTGTCACACTAAACTTTCAAAGTCTGGTGTGGATATTACAGTCATAGCACATCTTATTTGAGACCATCCACGTTTCAGGTGCTCAATGGCCACATGTAGCTAGTAGTTACCATGTTGGACAGCCCAATTCTACAAAGTGCTGGGAGGAAAAGAGGGGTTATAATAATAACCACCATTTCTTGAGCCCTGCTATGTGCCAGAACATGTCAAAATTTTTTACACATTTCTCTCATTTGGTCCTTGGAATAACCTTATGAAATTGATGTCCTTTTTCTTTTTAAAAGAAGATAAGACGTAGAGAGTTTAATAAACTTGTGTAAAGTCATATGCTTTCCATTTACAAACATGAGAAGATGATTTGTTCTGGACTTTAACCCAAAGGTAGTGAAGCAGGGAAGAACCTAAGCCCAGAGGAACAGCACTAATACCACCAGTAAGGTATGCAACCAAGCCTGCCATTCCCTCTGAATGCAAATTAGAGATGCAGCAATGAGGTAGTAATAAATTTCCCTAGCCAAAAAAATTCTCTGAGAAGCAATGAGAGGGCATGAATAAGATGAAAAGGAAAGCAACACTAACCAGAAGGAGATAAGTGAGTTTGAACATTAACAAATGGCAGAATTGGTGATATAAGAGCAATCATAAGCTTGGCTGATATGCATGCAATTTCAATAAGCAAGTAGAAGTGGGTGCTATCGCTCCCATCTGTAAGGTTGCCCTTGGGAGGAGGAGGAACTGGAACCTGGATCCAGGTCAAGAATTACCTAGATTAACTATGAGGACAAAGGGAAACAAGACATAGGAAGAGTGAAGGTCACAATGGAGGAAACAGGATTATGCAACCATGCAAGGTGTGTTTGAGAGGACATCCTGCTCTAGCGGACTCCACACAAGCTACCAGGGCAGACACAGATGCTTATATGGGCTTAATTATGACTAATCCCCAAAGCTAGAGTCCATATAAACAGTCTCAATGAAATGAGAACATCATGCTATATTTATTAAATGCTTACATTATAGCTTTTCTGTGTTTAGAGTTTAAATACTTTTATTTGTAAAATGATGGTTATAATGAGTAGCCATTATTTGGATGATTTTATCTTTAATTTTTTTTAATGTCCTCACTTGGTAAATATAAAAGTTGACAATCTTATATTGGTCCTCCACTTTTATTAATTAAAAAAAATTAATGGTATCCTATATAATAAAAGCCTAATATGCTAAGTGTCCGACTGTTCAACTGTTTGACCAGTTCCTATGACATACACTGACCACCAGGGGGTAGATGCTCTGACCGGTAGGTTAGCTTGCTGCAGGGGTCCTGCCAATTGGGACTGGATGAGATGGGCCAGACATGCCCTGGAGCCCTCCCGCAGTCCTTCCCCAGCCCCGTTCATGCACAGGTGGGGTCCCTCAGCCTGGCCTGCACCCTCTTGCAATCCAGGACCCCTAGGAGGATGTTGGAAAGCTGGTTTTGTCCCGATCCCCACAGGCCAGGCTGAGGGAACCCCTCTCCACGCCCATGCACGCATCTGTGCACCGGGCCTCTGGTATGAAACATAAAAACCACTGCTTAAGATTCAATCTTTTCTCATATATATTGGATTTTGCTTCTCTCTGGTATAATTTCAACTACTAGGTACTTCCTCTATTCTAGCTCCATGCCCTCAACACATAAATATGCTCAAATTTCTTCCAATTAAATCAGATTAAATAAAACTTTCCTTAAATTCTTCTCCTTCTCTCTTGGTACACCTGAGCACTTGTTTCTTCTTTAACTATCATTCTTTTCTCAACTCTCCCAACTGTTTTATCCCTTAATTTTTTACACTGGAAATTTAATATTACACACTTGTGCATTAGTTTCTCCACCAAAATAAAAATTAATTAAAATCTTTTATTCAATTTTAATGTTTTCTCTTTTGATTGAATCACTATTAAAACAATATTGTCCAATGGACACAAGACACTGGGGGGTAGGGGAGGCTGGGGGAAGATCAAGGGGAAAAAAAAAGAGACATATGTCTACTCTTTGTAATACTTTAAGCAATAAAAAACAAACAAACAAACAAAAATATTGTGAGAGGGCAGTTCAAGATGACAGCAGAGGAAGATTCTGAACTCATGTCTTCCCATGGACATAAAAAGATTACAACTACATACAGAATATTTTTTTTCCAAAAAATGACCTGAAAGTCCTAGCCAGTTCAGCTCAGTGGATAGAGCGACGGCCTGTAGACCAAAGGGTCCTGGGTTCAATTCCGGTCAAGGGCATGTACCTCGGTTGCAGGCTCCTCCCTGGCATGGGCCCTGTTGGGGCTAACGCAGGAGACAACCAATCAATGTGTTTCTCTCACATCAATATTTCTCTCTGTCTTTCCCTCTCTCTTCCACTCTCTCTAAAAAGCAATGGGAAAATATCCTTGGGTGAGGATTTAAAACAAACAGCAATAAAAAATGACCTGAAAATTGGATGAACAGTATCTCCACAACAAAAGTTAAAAGGGACTCACTGAGATGGGTAGGAGAGGCAGAAACATGGTCTTGCTAAAAACCCTACCCCAGGTATGGTGAGCCACAATCAGAAAGGATCTCAAAAATATGGAACTTTTCCCTGGGGAACTAGGGGTTTTTGTCCCACATTAGGCACCTCTGAAACCCTATAGGGATTACATCTAGGAGAATTATAAAACTGTAGGGAATGGAGAACCTGCTCTTAAAGGGCTTGCACACAGACTCACTCACCCCAGGACTCGGTGCAAAAGTAACAGTTTAAAAACATCTACACCAGTGGCCCTTTAAATACAGTTCCTCATGTTGTGACCCAACCATAAAATTATTTTCGTTGCTACTTCATAACTGTAATGTTGCTACTGTTATGAATCATAATGTAAATATCTGATATGCAGGATGGTCTTAGGTGACCCCTATGAAAGGGTTGTGCGCCCGCCAAAGGGGTCGCGACCCACAGGTTGAGGACCACTGATCTACACTAAAAGTGAAAAAGACCCACTTACTAGTCTTAAAGCATCTTCCAGAGAGAAAAGAACCTGCTGGGATCTCTCCTGGGATGGAGGCACTGGTGGGTGCCATTTTTGCAATCTCATTCTACCTTGCTAGTGCTGGCACTGGAAAAATGCCATTTTGGCACTCTATCTAACCTGCTAGTGCCAGTGGATATGCTCCACCCACCCCCATGCCACAGCCAGGTGAATGCCCCTCCCCCCCCCCAACGCACCCAATGCTGCAGCCATAACCCCACCACAGCTAGTAGGCACGAGCAACCCACACAGGGGATGTCCCTAGAACACCTGACTCTGGTGGTTAGGGGGGATTACACTTCTGAGTCCCACAGAACATTTCCTACAAAATGCCACTCCTGCAAGACAAGAAGAGACAGTTGTCTCACCTAATACATAGAGACAAACACAGAGTCAACTAAAATGAGGAGAAAAAGGAATATGTTCCAAATGCAAGATTAAGACAAAGCATCATAAAAAGACCTTAATGAAATGGAGATAAGTAATCTTTCTGATAGAGTTCAAAGTAATGTTCATAAAGACACTCAGTGAATTCAGGAGTAGAATGGATGAACACAAAGATAAACTATAAGAAAGTACCAAACAGAAGTCAGAGTTGAAGAATAGAATAACTAAACTGAAAAAAATACACTAACAATTCATCAGCAGGCTGGATGAAACAGACAGAAAAATCAGTGAGCTGAAAGACAAAGCAATGGAGCTTATCCAACAAAGCAGAAAAAAACCCCCAGCATTTTAAAAAGTAAAGATACATTAAAGGGCCTATGAGTCAACATCAAGTAGAATATAATTTGCATTAGAAGGCTCACAAAAGGAGAAAAGAGAGAAAAGGGGGCAGAAAACTTACTTGAATAAATAATGTTTGAAAACTCTAATCGGGGGAAGAAAACAGATGGCCAGGTCCAGAAAGCCCAGAGAATTCCAAATAAGATGAACCCAAAGAGACCCACACCAAGACACATTATAATTAAAATGTTAAAAGTTAAAGATAAAGAGAGAATCCTATAAGTAGCAAGGAGGAAACAACATGCTACTTACAAGGGAAACCCCAATATGCTATCAGCAGATTTTTCAGCAGAAACTTTGCTGTCCAGGAGGATGTAACATAACAAATTTAAAGTGAGGGGAAAAAAAATTTCCAACTAGGAATACTCTACCTGGCAAGGTTATTATTCAGAATTGAAGGAGACATAAAGAGTTTTTTAAATAAGCATAAGCTAGAGGAGTTCATTGCCACTAAACTGCCTTACAAGAAATGTTTAAAAGACTTCTTTAAGCTGAAAAGAAATGGCACTAATTAATAACAACAAAACATATGAAAGTAAAAATCTCACACACACACACACACACACACACACATAGGTTGGAGCAAAAGTAGGTTTACAGTTGTGAATACATGAAACGGTTTATTCTTATAGTATTATTTATTAATTATTGTATTATTTTCCATACAAACAACTGTAAACTTACTTTTGCCCACCCTGTATAGTAAAGATAGTATATTAATCATTTGTAAAGCTAATATGAAGATCAAAAACAATGGTAGTAAAATTAACTAAAACTACCACAACTAGTTAAGGGATACATAAAATAAAAATATGTAAAATGTGACATCAAAAACATAAAATGTGCAGGAAGTAAAAATATAGAGATTTGGAATGTTCCAATTTAACCCTTTGC